GTATAGTTTTTGTTTTGTTTTTTTAACAGCAATTACCTGATCTGTTTCTTAATTAGTTAAGGAATGTGGTCTAGGATCTTCATATGTTAATTTTGATGTGAATAACTCTGCTTACAGCTCTGTTTATCGATTGCCTTCTGGTAGCTATTTATTGCCCTAGAGAAAATAAAGCATCTGTCATCTTGGAAGTGATTAGTACACGTGGAGGCTCTGCCTCCTAACCCTTGGGTCAGCAACAGTAGAAAAAACACAGACTACGGAGCTGGGCATCCAGGCTACATGACCTTGGTCCAGTCACTTCCCTCTCTGGAACTCAGTTTCCTTCCAGAAAAGACTGGTCCAAGCAAGGGACTTTAAGCATCAAGATTTTCTGACTTTATAAAGAAGTTACCCGGTTGCACTTGAAGAAGTCCCTGAATGATACAAATTGTTAACGTATTTGGATGCTAACCAAAAGGCTGGAGGTTCAAGTCACCTGGAGGTGCTATGGAAGAAAGGCCTGGTTACAATCACTGAAAATCCTACGGAGCACAGTTCTACTCTTACACAAAGGGGGCTCCATAAATCAGAATTGATTTAACAGAAGCTGTCTTATATGAGGGGCTTCAAAATGTTGGTGGAAAAATTCCATTATCTTTTTTTTTTTTTTTACTAACTATTTGAAATACATACATATATATACACACACACACACACATATGTATATATACATATATGTACACACATGTCTACACACATATGTATGTGTATGTAGACATGTGTGTCTACATGCACACATAAATGTATACATATGGTAGCGTAGTGGTTACGAATCGGGTTGCAAACCTCAGGGTCAGTAGTTCAAAACTACCAGCTGTTCTGCGGGAGAAAGATGAGGCTTTCTGCTCCCATAAAGATTTACAGCCTCAGAAACCCTGTACAGCGTCGCTATGAGTCGGAACCAACTCCACGGCACACAACATATACATATACATATATATACACACACACCTATATATATATCCTTTGTACCTCTGAACTTTGTAAATGCTTTACCTATTAAAGAATAACACATACGTAACATAACACATCATGATCGTCACAACTGTGATTGTAGAAGATGTAGAACTAAAAGGGGGGAGTAGCTAATCTTTCAATTCAGGCACAGACAATCCCAGTGCCATCAGGAAGGAAGAGCATGAAAGGAGCGTGAGATCCTTCCTACCTAGAAAAGCAGTGACAGCAGAGGCAATGACATGGAGAAAGAGCAGCTGAGGGCTCTAGGCCCATGGACTGAGAAAGTCTGTGTGCCTGCAGGCAGGAGGCTGGTTTGCAGAATGTGCCCTTTGGACATTTAAATGAGTATATATTTTTTGTTTTGTATGTGTACATCAAATATTTTTGGTTTGTTCATTTGTGAAATATAAGATGTAAATGGGGAGCCACAGGGAGGAAGCAGGATAGCTGTTGTTGCAGAGAAGGGATTATAATCATTGAGCTGAAGCAAAGTGTATGATTTGTTGAATGTAAAGCTGATGATACTGTCTGTAAATCTTGTCAGTTCACAATAAAACTTTTTTTTTTTTTTAAAGGAATCACACACACTCTTGCAGGTACTGATTGTCAACAGGACCATCTGCACCAGAGCCCTAAACCTCCCACCAGCCTTAGCTTCCAAGGCCAAAGAACACAAAGGGGTGTGGGGGTGACCTGCCCAAATCTCCCTTCCTGCCCCTGAGGCCACACACTGCTCTTCATCCTCACAGCTGCCTTCTTCTCTCACTGGATGAGACATGAGGCACGAAACCACTCTCCCCGCTCCCCTCTCACTGTTCCAGTCCAGACTCTACACGGGGCTCCTGTCTCTCTCCTCCTAAACCCCTGCCATGGCCTTATAACTCATCACTCTCATGGGGACACTTGTGAGAGTAAGGAAGGTAGAGTGAATCATTAGGACAACAGGCACAAACTGCGATGGTCCCAGGCAACACAACATTTAAGGTCTACTTATGTGGGCTCTATAGAGTCCTGGTGATATTGTGGGTTAGGGGTTGGGCTGCTAGCCACAAAGTTGGTGGTTCAAACCCATCAACCACTCCTTGGGAGAAAGATGAAGCTGTCTGTTCCTTTAAATTTTTATGGCTTTGGAAACCCTATGTAGAGTTGCTATGAGTTGGAATCAACTTGACGGCAGGGGTTCGGATCCTGGTGTGGCACCGCGGGTTAATGCGCTGGACTACAAAGTCGGTTTGAGCCACAAAGTCAGTGGTCCAAGCTCACCAGGCACTCCTTGGAAACACTATACAGGATCGCTATGGGTCAGAACTGACTCAAAGGAACTTAAAACAACAACCCACCTCTTTGGAGTCCTGGTGTGGCACTGTGGGATAAAGCACTGGACCACAAGCTTGGTTTGAACCATAAGGTTGGTGGTTCAAACTCATCAACCGCTCCTTGAAAACCCTATACGGGGTTTCTATGAGCAGGAGGACCAACTTGATAGCACTTAATAACAATAAAACAAGCCCCCCTCTTCACTCGGCCACTTGTACTGTAAACTCTGGCTACACTGACTTTCTTTTCAATTGCTCAAACCCAGCCTGTCTCTTTTCTCTGAACTTTGCTTGAACTGTTCCTTGTGGTCCCCTCATCTCTGCCCTTCATCTTACTAGCTCCTACACCTCCTTTTGTTTCAATTTAAGCAACCCTTCCTCCGTCTGGACTAGGGGATTCACAGCTCACTGGACTGTCCAGCAGAACATTCAGCTCATGGCCACTCTGCTGCCTGACTGCTGCCCCACTGTACACGTAAGTCAACTTGTCAATAAACACTTAGTCCACCACTGGCTAGCAGTGGAACTTTGGGCAAGTAATTTGACCTCTCTGAGTTTGGGATCAATCGCTAAAATGGGGAGAATATTTATCTCACTGGAATTTTGTAAGGGTTAATAAACAAGACATGTGAAATCCTTGGCACATAGTAGGTGCTCAGTAAGTGTTACTAGGATGTGATGGGGAGCACTGTCTGTCTGCCTGTTTGTTGCCTCTGTGTGTTGCCGGGATGTAGTTCACTTGAGTTTTTATCTTGCCTGGAAGGGAGAGATCCAGTGTGAAACCTCTCTTCCCTGCTGTGCTCTCCCCTGTTTTGAGTGTAAATTAGGTATATGATACTCCATTCTGTGAGGTCCAGCTCTTAGAAATTTCTGGAACACTTCCAGAGGGTCTCCCAGCTCCAGGAGTTTAGCTCCTGCCTACCATCATGGTTCCTTTGCCCTAGGTGCTGACAGTGCGGAGGGACATGCACAGCCCTGAGCTGTCAGCACCTGTCACTTCCGGATAGCTCTCTGCTGGTTGCAAGTCTGAGAAGGGACCCATAGACTCAAAAGGTCAGAGGACACCATGGTCAACTTCAGCCTTGTCTCTCCAGGGCCCACAGTGGAGAGACAAGCCTACCTGTTCCTGAGTGTACCCAGTGTGCCCAGCATGGTTCTGGTCGTTCAGTTCATGCTTAAAAAGACTTGTTGAATCAGTGAATCAACAAATGAAGAATGAATGAAGTTAGCCCCAGATTGGAATCTCGCTTCTACCACTTAGTCACTAAGAAATCTGACAAGTTACTTAACCTCACTGTGCCTCAGTATTCCTATCTGTATAATGAGTATCAACCTCATACAACAAAGGTATCAACCTCATACGGTTATTATGAAAATAAAACAATATGTATATCGCACTTAGCAGAGTGTCCGACTTTACTAATGTTAGCAATTATTGCTAACTGTAGAATCACCACTTGTTTGTCATTTTGTCATACTGTGGTGGCTTGTGTGATGCTGAACGCTATATCATGGGTATTTTAAATACCAGCTTGGTCACCCACAGAGGACAGTTTTCAGCTGAGCTTCCAGACAAAGACAGACTAGGAAGAAGGAGAGATGCACTACTTCTGGGAATTTAGTCACTGAAAACCTTATGAATAACAGTGGAACACTGTCAGCACCAGAATACTGAATATTGATGTAGCAACAATTGTGAGGTTGGTCCAGGACTGAGCAGTGTTTTGTTCTGTTGTACACAGAGTCACTATGACTCAGTACCAAACTGATGGCACATAGCAACAGCAACATACTATAGAACAGTGCCTGGCCCATTATGTTATTAATATATATTGACACATTGCTATTGTTACTATTTTGTTATTCCAACTTGTAACGACCCTATGCATAACAGAACGAAACACTGCCTGGTCCTCACAATGGTTGCCATGTTTCAGCCCATGCTTGAGTTCAAGTATAAATAAATAAATAAAACTCTTATTTAGTAAAAAACAAATAATTGAGGGGACTGATACTGGGGATGACAAGCCTGGATTAATGATTAATTCGATTTCTGGTCAAGTTCTGGTGCCATTTCTACGATGTAGGGGAAGGACTAAGGGACAGGACTAGGGAGAGAAAGAGCAAACACCCTGCTTGGTGCATTCCAAGTGGAAGGGCGGGAGCTGTTCTGAGGTCCAGGAAGAAAAGCAAGACTTTGCTGACCTTTGCATGCAGAACTGACTCTCTCTGAGCCCCAGGGGCACCGTGAAGTGCTCAATGTCATCCTCAGTGGGGCTGAGGGGTGGCAGATGGGATGAAGGACTGGAAGAGCCCCTTTCCTCCTAGGGAAAGAGCTTTCTTTTTTTTGCACAAAAGTACCCAGTCCAACCTCTACTGCCCACATGCCATTATCTCTCAGTGTATATGGGGAGCACCAGACTCAAGCCATCTAAGCTCAGTGGAGATGATCTTGGCTCCTCCTCCCTTCTTGGGGCTCCTAGGGGGTCTGGCTGGGTGGAAGTTGTCTTGGTTCAGGGAGGGCCCTTAGTGGGAAGCAGGGAAGAACAGAGGAGTGGAGGCTGCTGGGACATGCAGGAAGATATGCTGCTCTTGCAGCCATCTGATGATGCTCCTGGTCCAGATGTGGCCAGGCCAGTGTCAAAGGACAGGACACACATCCCTGTCCCAGCCAGCTGCCATGCTCACCCGCTGCAGAAACTCCGTCCGCTCCTTCTTCTTGTTTCGGCATCGGGCCGCGGCAACTTTGTTCTTCTCCCGGCGTCTTTTCCTTCGTTCCTCTTCCTCATCTAGCTGTGAAGGCAAAGAGCCACCAATTAGGACTAGAGTGGAGCTTCCCTAATGACACACAGACAGACCGACAGACAGATACCAATCTTCCCTTCCTATCCCAGACTCCTCGGCTACTAAGCGTGCCCACTGTCTGCCAGCCCACAGCCTCCTGACTAGAAAGATGGAAGTTTCCCAAATCAGTCCAAGAATCCATTGGGAGCAGGTGGGGGTGGGGGTGGGGTGGGCCACAATAGGAGCATGAGTGCTGTCCAGGTTTGGCCAGAGTTCAAGAGTCTAAGAGCATAGAGGCAGTGTTGGCCTGTTCTCCCTAACTGCCCAGTGCAAGCCACAGTGGCTCCCAGGCATTTTCTTTCACATTCAGACCCTACTCACTTCCTCTTCCTGACCTACCTTCACCCTCCCAATATCCTCTGTTGGGAGTTTTCAATCTCTACTGAAACTCCACCCCCAGTATCCCTTCTTCTGGATCCTTCCAAACACTAGGATCTATCTTGCTGCTCAGCAGGGTGCCCAGCTACCTCCCTGGTCTTGAATCCCTCTCCCTTTGCTGCATGTTCTGCCTTCCCTGCCCCCATACTGCCTGTGACAGAGAGGGATGGCCCCAGGTGCTCCCTAAAGTGCTCTGCATGGGATGCAAGCCAAGGAGCCTCCAGGCTGATTTCTCCCAGGATACATTAGGAAAGCAGCCACACATGAAATCAGGCACATTCCTGGAGGAAGAAGCTACCCACCAACACCGAGTTTCTTTTTAATAATTTATTTTACTGTTGCTGAGCATATACGAGGGTGCTTCAAAAAGTTGACGGAAAATTCCGTTACCTTTTCATTCCATTTTTCCATCAACTTTTGAAGTCCCCTTGTACATAGCTGAACATATACTAATTCAACAGTTCCTACACTTCAGTGACATTGATCACATTTTTCTGTCCAATTGATCCTGTATGTTGTTGTTGCCAAGTACCATCGAGTCTGCTCCACCTCATAGCTGGAAATTGTATAGTGTTTCCAAAGAGCAGCTGGTGGGTTTGAACTGTTGACTGTGTGGTTCGTGGTCCAGTGCTGATCCTAGAGCGCTGCGCCCAGACAAACATCGCTGCCATTTCTTGCTTCTTTTGCTAAATGCTTTACACACATGTCATTTAATCCTCGCAATCCAAGTCTTATGTTGAAGATACTCTTATAAGGGGGGCTTCAAAAAGCTTATGAAAAAAATCCATTATCTTTTAATTCCATTTTTCTACAAATTTTTCAGAGCCCCCTCAAACTGTTCCATTATACAGATAGTATGAAGAAGCCTTGGTGTAGCACTGTAGGATAAGCACTGAATGTAAGGTTGGCAGATCAAACCCACCAGCTGCTTGGTGAGAAAAAGATGAGTCTTTCTGTTCCTGGACAGCCTCCGAAACTATACAGGGTTGTTAGGAGTTGGGACCAACCAGGTGGCAGTGTTTGTTGGTTGGGCTGTATGATTGAGGCTCAATAATTCAATGTGCCCAAGGCCATACAACCGGAAATGGTGCAGCCAAGATTCAAACGCAGCTTCCTTTGGCTTCACATTCCTGCTCCTGACCACAGGGACCACACGGCTCCAGGCCATCAGGATCACTTGCCGTGGTGCCTCCTGCTGTTCATTACCTCCCAGGAAAATCTGGAGGACACAGCCGGCCCGGCTGGGTTGGGGACAGCCTAGAGTCAGAGGTCACTAAAGAAGTCATTGCATTGTCCTGAGCTGCCAACTCTCTCACTTCTTAAACCAGGGGGGTGACTCTGCAGCCCGAGGCTGGAACAAGATCTCAGCCAAATGGGCTTTAGGCCAGTCAAACAAACATCTCTCAGTGTACTCCCAGCATGCTCTAGGAGCTCTGGACCAGCACCCACAGCCGTGGACATGGGCCCTGGCAAGACAGCCCTCTTCTCTGTCTCCACCACCCCTGTGCCTCTCCCTGACACACTCCCACCAGACTTGTCAACACCCCTGCATCCAAGCACCACCCAGCCCCATGGCCTCCTTTGAAACCGAACCAGAAATGACAGCTCCTCTGGCTGACCCGCATTTGGGAAAACAGAAACCTGGACAACAATGATTCTGCCCAACCTCAACCTCACCCCCAACAAGGTTGAGGTAACAGTGACGACAGGCAGAGGGAAGGAACTGGAGGAAGTGGCTGGCCGTGCAATCTCCCCTCGGCCAAGGGGGTTTGCCCACAAACTGCCAAGGTGATGTGCAACCTGGGTGTTGCTGGGCTCACAGAGCTCCAAACACCTCCCCCTGAACAAGTCTGGGCTTCTGGGAGGGCTGCCCTCTCCTCCAGGACTCAGTTCTCTTCCCACCTTTGCACAGGGCCTCATCCTACAAAGTGCAAGTCAGGAGCACACACAAGTGCTGTAACACTGAATGCAAAGGGGTTCAAAGCTAGGAAGTTCAGGAGCTGAACTGGGCCAGGCTCATGCCCACATCAGGGGCTGGCTCTCACCCTCTGGCTTCATCATTCCCCTCCTTCCATTGCCTGTCCAAATCACTCCCCTTCTCCAAGCTGAAATGATGTTCCTTTCCCACTCAGTCAACTTTCATTCAACCTTCAAGAGTAATGTCACCTCCTCCAGGAAAGCTCCTTTGATGACCCAGATAGGATAAGCAGCTTATTGTCTGCTACAAGAGCACTCTGAAGACCCCTTTGGGAGTCTCTACCACATCCCACCACAATTTTGTTCATGAAGGTACCCGTCTTCCCATTCAGTCTGGAGGATAGAGAACTTGAGCATGCTCAGTACCAGGCATCAGAACATGGCACTTAGTAGGGACTCAACAAGCGTTAGTGAGATAGATGGATGGATGAATGAATGAAGGACATCCAGAGAAAGATACTACCAGCTTGGATAGTACAAAAACTATTCACGCCTTGTGTTTGCCTATGTACGGTGCTTCCCCATGACACTTCTCTACCCAGATGGTCCTTTTGTTTGTCTGTAGCAAAGCCTGGGGATCGGGTCCTGCCTTCCTCAGAAGTTCAATTGCCATTGTCACTCAACCAGACCACCAGGGTGACAAACTGGGTAGTACCAGTCCTAGGTTATTTGGGTCAATCAGCACCAAAGGTCTAACGTCAGGAGAGGAGAACGTGGCTCAGATTCTAGAATCTGAGGCTTAGGTTTGCATGAATATGGAGCAGATCCTGAAACAATCTGGGGGTATAATTTATCCCAAAGGCTCCAGGTCCACAGCCACCCCAATGGAACTGCAGAGCTTCACAGTAATGAGGGCCAAACTGTCCCTAACTCCTCTGGTTGCTATTTAAGACCTTGTCTCTGGATCTGCCCAGAGGAGTTGTAGAAATAGTTGCTGTGACCCTATCAGAAGTAAAGCAGTACCCCTCAGCCTTCTCCTCCCCAGTGAGCTAACCCCAGTGCCTCCCACCCAGGCCTGGCCTGACCTAAACCACCTACTCTTCCCAGGCCCCCTGTAGGCTCTTCTTAAACCCCCCCAAGTTTAGGCTGCTACCTCCCTCTTCTTGATGCTCTCTGAATTCGCTAAAGCAGTTGGCTGTGAGTGGGTGAGAGCAGAGTGCTTTCAGCACACTTGCTCCGATGTCTAAAACTGGAGCCCAAATGGGAGATGACACAGCTGGAAGAACCAGGAGGCCTGAGGGGGAGGCAGCTAGACGCTCAGTACACTTAAAGAACTGTGAGGTGGGGGCTGAGTTCCGGCTCTGATTTCGTCAAATTCCCAGGAAAGCCGAAGGGCACAGTTGTCTAATCTGGCACATTAAGGGGAGCCCAGTGTGCCCGTCACAAGGGGATTCAAAACCAAGTGGGCTCTCACATTGATCATACCCACTACACCCCAGCCCCTCCTCAGCAAGTCTGTTCCTAAGCCCCTGCTGATGGGGCACGGGGACCCCAGCCCCTGGCCTCAGCTGACTGGGCATGGTGGAGCCCACTCTCCTGGAATGAAGCAGGCAGGGCTAGCCAACCCACTTCAGCCATGTGCCCAAAGAATAGAAATGTGGGGCTGCTGGTGTATGGTGATGTGCAGAGACCAGAGACCATGTGACAAGGAGAAAGTGACACTCAGCCACAGCAAGGGAATCAGAGAGAGGAGTGACCAAGAAAGAACTATAGCCAGGGCAGGGTGGGCCAAGGAGGTGCCCAGGCACACATTTAAGGAGGGAGGCGCTCACTCTCTGGCTAGCTCAAGTACAGGGTCTGTCCTTAAACCCTGTGTCCTGGACCTTGCCTGCTTTATCCTAGTGCCAGACCCTGAGAGGGTGAGCTACTGAAAACTCAGACAGACAGGAAGGACAAGAGATAGCAAGTGACAGAGATGGAGTGCAGGACAGAGAACACAGAGACAAAAATACAAAGAGAGACAGAATAAGAGGCAGAGCCACAATGAGAAACACATAGAACCATGACCAAGGCTGATGGTACAGACAGAGAGACAGACAGGGTAAACAGACAGAAAGCATACCACAAAGGGAAAAACTATATTAGTCCTCCTGACTCCACCCTAGTAGGCCCCACTGTGCTTCCTGTCCTTGGAGTCCACAATATGTGTACCCAAATTTGTCTTGGACATTCCTCTTCCTGGGGGGATTTTGAGGGGACTTCTTCTCTTGCCATGAGAAGGTGCCCAACACACCAATGTTCTACCCTGGTGAATTCAAGTGATGCCAAGTGATACTAGAGGACCAGAAGGTGGTCCCAGTGGTCCAGAGGAGAAAGCCTACCAGGAGCAACGCTTCAAGAACTCTGAGAAAGTGGCAGAGCCGAATGCAGAAGGGGCAGGTGGACCACCACGGTGGGCAACAAAGGTCCTGGTTAGCACAAAATGGATTCACATTAAACTCTGAAGAGTTTAACGAGAGGACTGTGGACAGAAAGGAGTTTAGGGAATCAGACACAGCAACCATGAAGGGGACAGGCACACGAGTAATTGTTAGAACCTGGGAGTGTTGGTGGTATAGTAGGTTACACATTGGGCTACTGACCACAAGGTCAGC